TGCTCATTTGATTCAATATTTTCAGGTTGGAATCATGGGTCTTCTGTGTTACATTCTGTTAAGGGGTGAGTCTTACAGAAAGGCTGCCATGGCTTGCGGCATCTTCAGCCTGATTTTCTTGGTCATTGTGGCTAGAATATGGAGCCTTATCTTGAACTGAGATCAAAAGCTCTTGTAATTAACTTCTTACATAGATGTATTTTATATGCAATTTCATGCTTGAAAATAAACTTTTTCCTGGATTGAAAAGAACTAGTACATATAGAAAAGATATTTACTGTTTTTATGGATTCGAACAAACTGGAATTCAGTTGCTTCGGTACAGTTTGTTGTAACACTCAACATCATGAGCACAAACTTGAAATATCTTCTGGTGCAACTGGTTGTGTATTTGAGGATGTCAAAGGAGGATATGGAGACCTGAGGTGAAGCTCTGCTTATGGGGCAGAAACTTATGCCGGCCATTTGGGGTTTGCAAGTTATGAAATTCTGTTCATGTCATTGCCGTAAAACAGAGGGCAGACGATAACAATAAGAACGAACTGAGAAAATGAAAGCTCTCAAGTTACACATACTCTGTTTTTCTTCCTTTAGATTTTCTCCAACTTTTCCCATTAAGCGTCGATGAATCAACCTTTTACTTTTCTCCCAAATGTACAGTTTTTATTATGAATTTATTAATAAAATATTTGTTATAAAATTATTTTATATTATTTTATTAAATACTTTAATAAATTTATAAAATAAACTAAAGATTTGAGATTTTTTAAGCTGTGTTTTTAAGTATAATTAATTAAAATATTTATAATTAATTGTATATAAACTTTTATGTGAGATTAAAAAAATATAACATAAAATTTAAAAATAAAATAAAATATTTATATTTAAAATTAATAAAAATTATAAATTTAACATAAAAATTTATATAAAACTAATTAAAAATACTTTAATTAATAAATTATAACCTGTGTTACAAAAATATACATTAAATAAACTCTTAATATATATAATTTAAGCTTATTTCATTAATCCGTTATTGTTTTTGGAATTTTTTTTTTTTTACAAGGATAATGGTTAAAAAGTTAATGAGTTAATTATTACTAACTGATTCTCAGATTGAGTGAATATTTTATCCCTTCAAATAAGGTACATGTCCATTAAATTATTTTTTTGTAGAATTCATGATAATGATGGAGTTCGAAACCTCAATCATTTCATTCAAACATTTAAAACTTGAGGTGAAACTATTAAGTCACAAACCGGTTCATTATTGGAATTAATTAGTCTAAAAGTATCAGTGTATCACAATTCCAAGAAAGAGTGGAGCATTTCGATTTTTGCGGTTTTGCATGCAATTATTCAAGTACTTCGAACCGGTAGACGAGGTTAAATGACGTCATTTGCGTTTACCAGAGTACAATAGACCGAAGCGTGTTTGACACTTCACTTTTTGGTCAAGGCAATTCATATTTGCAAAACAATAAAATAATGCATGTGGTACTATGTAAAAATGGATTAATGGAATTCAAATCCTGTATCTTTTTACTTCTCGTCTTTGTATCTTGTCTCCCAAATTGGAGTACTTGTACATTTTTAACTATAATTTTTATGGATT